CGGGTGCTCCTCAAAGGGAGCCCCATGTAGAGAGCATTACAGTAGTCCAGGCGGGAGGTGACGAGAGCTTGAGTGACTGTGCGCAAAGCGTCCCGGTCCAGAAATGGACGCAACTGGTAAATCAGGCGGACCTGATAAAACGCCCCCCTGGTCACGGCCGACAAATGATCTTCCAATGTCAGCCGTGGATCCAGGAGGATTATACGTATGTCTTGACAAAAAGTGTTAGGCCAACCCAAATTTCATAACTAAAAATTGAGAATATATATATATATATCTTAGCTGGTTAATATAGAAAATAAACTGACTAATGGATGGAAAACTGAAAAATGAGTAGGATGAAGTTCTTTTTATCATTTTCTGTTGAGAAGATAACATGCTAATTCTATAGATGAAATCATTTTATGGGCTAAGAAGCCGTCTGTTTTGCCAAAATATTGGTTATATATAATTGATATTTTGAAGTGCTATTTAGTATTTTATAAGGGGTCTCTCTCTCTCTCTCTCTCTCTCTCTCTCTCTCTGTGTGTGTGTGTGTGTGTGTGTGTGTGTGTAATGTATGCATAATATGTATAGAAATTGCAGCACTATTATTGCTATAGTCACAGATTTTGATGGATCATTAAATTATTATTATTATTTGTAGTGGATTATGGATGTAATCTTATGCAATGGACTTGGCATTTACTGCGGAATGAAGACTTTGGGGTGGCTTTCTTTGAAAACATATAAATGGCAAGGACTTTGGAATATTCCCACATATAAGTATGTTCAGTTATAAAATTTTATTTCTAAGGCAGAAAAATGCAAATATTATAACTTTTATCAGTTTTTATGCTAATGAATCCTAAATTGCTTAATTTGAAGTCAGGTACCCAGTTTATTTGGATACAGATAGGTTTTAATCTAGGATAAATTAATAATTATAACAACTTCATAAATACTATGAAATGAAATAAATAAATAGGCTAATTATGGATTATTACCATCTATACAAATGTCTTTTGTGATAGAAATTTGAACATAGTTGTGTAAAGTATTGTTTTATTTCTTAAATTACAAAAATACTTCTGTATACTCCCAAATCTTTTTTGTTTTTTTATATTTTAGTTTCTGTATTACTTCTGGGTTGTTATTTATGCTATTTTAACATTTTCAGTGTTTTTGTTCATCACACTTTATTTAATAGAAAGTTTTTAAAAAATTAACATGAGATATTTTTAATTTCCCTTCCAGAGGTAAAATGAAGAGAATTGCCTTTCAATTCACACCATACAGTTGGGTTAAATTTGAGTGGAAGCCAGCATCCAGCCTTCGCAGATGGCTAGCAGTGTGTGGCATTATTTTTATTGTAAGGATAATTTCTTTCTATGAACTAATATAAGTATTTCAAACAGTTTTTATTTTCAAAATACTATAAACAGATTTTTTGCTTTTTCCCACAGACTCCCTAAGTTTGACATAATAAAAATACAATTTATCTTGCAGAATTCCTGCTTTCATGCTAAGAGCGAAGTAAAGAAAAGGAAGGAAGAGGTCGTGATAGTCCCATTTAATTTAGAAGACTCTATAAATACTAAACGACATATAAATTGTATAGGCTAAGGGATGAGTGTTCACATGCAAGAAACACATTTTATTTCAATATTTATTATACTGTAAGAAAATGATTCCCTGATAATACAGACCACAGGAGGTAGAAACCCTCTCCATCAAAAGCAGTTCGTTCACATGTGCACATAATTGGTAGATAGGAAAACTGGTAGGGAAGAAAAGGTAATTCTGACTCTGTAGTTAGAGACAAGACTGTGCTTGGTATTCTCTGTTTAATCAAATGCAAAATCAAATGTTAAAAAAATGTAAAGAACATTTTTCTGCATTTGTCAAAATTAGTCTTCTTGAATGATGATCTGATTTTATTGCTTGAATACATTTGTTTTAAAGTTTGATCTTTTGAATCTCTATAAAGGAAGTGACTCTTAAAATAGTATGATTAGCAGGTTAGAGTCACTGTGAGGTATTGAGTTTGTAACTTTGTATTGAATAATTATGTTTATTCTAACAATTCACTTCCATAATTTTGAATATAGAACATCAGTAATTGCTGCATGGACAACCACATTCTCATTTGGACATTGTAGTACCTGGTCATTTTATCAAATTTCCATTCTATAATAGATAAGAATAGGGAAACAGCAGCATCCAAGAAATAGGGGATAATGACTAAAAATACAATTTCTTTAAATTGTTTTATGGAAACACTACTTTGTTAACTTTGATAGTATTTCTTTGGCAAGACATTCCATGCATTCAAATTTATACACTTTGAAGAATTGTGACATATTTTAGGTTTGAATAAGAGGAAATCTCCTAAGTGATTGAATGGTATGTGTCAGTTTTTATTGGCAGAGTTGAACACATTTTACTTGAAATTTGTCCTGTGGATGCCTCCAGAACACTACTTGGTCCTGCTGCGACTTGTCTTTTATGTGAATGTGGGAGGAGTAGCTATGAGAGAGATCTATGATTTCATGGACGATCCGTAAGTTATTTTTCTTATTTAAACTCAGTTGCTTT